GCTGACTGTCTGCACACTGTCTCATTAAAGTGCATGAGAAGCAGGCACGGCTGTCACTGTGTTCCTGGTGTGGGTGTTGCTGGGGAAGGGGCTCCAGGGCACGGCCGGGTGCAGCTGCCGGAGCTGCAGGGTCCCCGGTCCCCGAGCCCCAGCGTGTCACTGTGGGACGGGGCCTCCTGGGACCGAGGGCTGACTCCTCCCTCACAGGCGTCCTGCACTCGGGGACTCGGGGCAGGCAGAGCAGCACGGGGGACGGACGGTTGAAAGTTGATCACAGAGGACACCAGGCACCTGTGCCCGGCCCAGAGCCAGCAGGGCCACCGCACCCCGCAGCCCTGCACCCTCCCTGCGCTGTGGGCTCCAGCGTGGGCTCTGGGCTTGTCCCGCACGCCTGGGTGCGCCATAGTTTTGTTTCTCCTGGGGTTGTCGTTTGTGTAACTGCTCTGATTGTCACACCCTGAGACCTGCTTTTTTCACTCAGCACTAATGGCCTTTTGTTAGAAACTCTACCGCTTCCGTCCCTTTGCTGGCGTGAATAACGCCGGGCTGCTGGCCGTCTTCCTAGAGCTGCTTCATCGAAGATCTCCCTTAGGGCAGAGTCCCAGAGGACGCCCATGGCAAAGCCACGTTGTTTCTAGAAAGACTGTTCCCAGCAATCTACCCGGTCCCAGGTCACAGTGCTCACTTCGTCCCTGGCCAGCACTGGGCACAAATGACACATCCCGTGCTTGTGCGGTGATGCGCAACGGGGCAGAGGTGACGTGTGCTATGTGGGACACGGTGCGATGCTCGTATCACCCGCTGCGTTCTGGGAAAAGCGGAACGCACGAACACACTGCGAGTCTGCAGCTCTTGCGCCAAGCAGCCCTGCGCGGTCTGCGCCGTTTCATCCCGGAGCCGCAGCTTTCCCGCGTCTGTGAATTGCCTCTGCCGCTCCTTTGTCCACAGCTGTTGGGGCTTTAAGTTTATTTTCATTGTTCTGAGATTTTTAATTAAATCAATCCATTACCGGTTGGTCTTTAGCAGTTGCCGAAAACCGTTTCGGTTGCCTTGCGGAGGTGGGGGTTTGTGTTCGCAGATGGAGATTTTAGCTGTTGCGGACCCAGGCCCAGGCCCGCTCCCACCCCGAGGCCCCGATTGGGGAGTGTCCTGCTCCCCGACTGGAAACTGCAGACCCCAGGGTCCATGCCCAGTGGGCTACGGGAGACCCCGCCAGGCCAGGGGCATTGCCAGGGCCAGGCCCCCGAGCCTCCGCTTACCTCCCGTCGCAGGCTGGCGTTGGGGCTCCTTTCTGCACAGCAGGCCTGGAGCCGGGGCGTGGTGCTCCGCAGGGAGCCGTGCGGTGGGGGGATCCCCAGTGCCGGAGGCACATGGAGCCGGGACCGGTGAAGGCCCAGAAGTCCCTCCTGTGGGGACCCGGGGATGGCCTGGAGCTCAGGACTCAGAGCACCTGGTTCCATGAAGACCCTGCCCTCTGCCCCCTGCACTGGGCCCGGGTAGAGGGGACCCGGGCGGGGACTCCTGGCCCAGACCCTGCCCCCACTGTGCAGGGCTGACCGCGTAGCTCCCACCCCCGCCAGCTACACCGGCCCAGGTGTGCGGCCGTCCTGCGGGAGGAAGGGGCCCTGCCACAGAGGGTGGGCTGATGTCGTCCTTGTCGGTCACCAGGTCAACATCTAACTGGGGTTTGGAGGCTGGGCTGCCGACCGCCAGGTGCTGGCCTGCAGGAGGCCAAGTGTGGGCCCCGTGAGGCCACGTCCTGGTGGGTGATCAGGCAATGCCCCCTCGTGCCTCAGTTTCCCCACATCTAAGGGGGAGTGTCCCTGACCTCGAGGGTCTCAGCGGGACCCTCCAACCCTGGCCTGTGACTTGGAGCTGGGGAGGGCAGGAAAGGCCCAGCTGCCCGGGGCCCCTAATCAGCTGGGTCATCAGGCCCTGGCCACAGAGAGGACGGTTAGGAAGGGCCGGCCCGGCTGGCAGCCGTGTGATGGTGCCCATCTGACCCGTGGTGGGGACCTCGAGACCCGCTGGCGGATGTGGAGACAGGGACATCTCGGAGGGCGGGTTGTCACGGGGACCTGAGCTGTCTCCACAGGGGTGTCTGGGCCTTGGCCTGGGAACCCTGAGACGGGGCTCATAGAGGTTGAAGGACAGTGGGCCAGCGTGTCCCTTGGGAACCAGGGAGGGCTTCCTGGAGGGGGCGGCACTCATCCTGGCCCCACCCTGGGGAGGACAAAATGCTGGTTTGCAGCCAGGCACTGGGTGGTCTTTCCCTGCTGTGGTCTGAGCGGGAGCCCCTGGGCGGGCTCGGTGGCCGGGCTGCCGTGTCCACATGGGGACAAACGGAGGTGACAGTCCTTCCCTGTGCGTGTGCACAGGAGCAGGTGGGTCCTGCCCATGGTGCCGTCCTCCTCCTGGTCCTACCTTCCTGCCCCGACAGCAGGGGTGCGGCTGTCCCTGCCGCGGCCCACACCCAGCGGGCCCGAGGCTCAGGTGGCCGCTCCTCCTCCGCCCTGCGTGGGCTGAAGCCACGGCCCCGGGCCCCTGTGGCCTGCTGCTCCTGGCCGTGCTGGGTGCGTGAGCGGCCGGGCGTGCTGCGGGGCGTGCGCTGAGGGAGCGTCTGCTCTTGCCGGGGCTGGGCCTCCTCCCGGAGCCGGGTGTTCACGCATTTCCAGTGTCTCCCATCAACCCTGGGGTGGGAGCCTCACGGCCTGGTCCCTGGGCCCGGGGAGCTTGAGCGCTGGCCGGAGCTGGGGTGAAGCTGGGGCGGGACAGAGAGGGACACGTGCCCAGGCCCCGCGTCGTCGCAGGGCCTGTGTTTTCTCTGCACAGCCTGCGCCTGGGTGCTGGGCGGCCGCCATCGGTGCCTGGGGGCAGAGGCCGGTCACAGGTGCGGTCGGGGTGGAGGTGCCGGCAGCCCTAGGCCCTGGATCCCAGGTGGGGGGAGGAGGCCCCAGGCAGTGCTCTGTGCCTCCCAGCTGCCATTTATGGCCCATGGCGGGTTTTACCCTGCCACCAGTCCTGGCCCCACCTGCTTAGGACAAGGGATCCACCCAGGGCCACCCTGAGGCCTGGTGGGCGTGGACGCCCCTCCCCCAGGCAGCCTCCCACCCCCTCATCCTGGGCCTGCCCGTCTCCTTCCCGCAGGTGTCTCCCGTGGGGTTCTGTAGCCAGGTGTGTCTCACGGGGGTGGGGCGGGGGCAGGGGAGGCCTGGCAGGAGCCCAGAGGCGACACCGCGTCCTCCCCAGGGGTCACATCACGGGGCCCAGGGAGGCCGCACAGCTCCTCATGGTGGTTTCCACTCGGGCCTCGCGGCCGGGGCCCTCCCAGCTGTGCTCTTCCCCTGCGGCTGTGTCTCGTATGGAGATGCTTCGAGACCCTGCAAACCACGTGCTTGCCCCAAACCCCCCTGCAGTCTCACCGCCAGGGAGGACCCTCGCCTCGGTCCTCATCACGGCCTCTGGGGCCACTCCCCACACCGCCCCGGCTTCCTGGGTCTTTCTGGCGCCCGTTTTGGGGCCTCTCCTCCGAGCCCCTCCCCAGCACACCCCCCTTTCCTGGCACAACGAGCTGCCCCGGCCCCCGCATCCCTGTTCGGCGTCCTCTGTTACGATTTTTGGAACATGGTGCTTAGAAACCAAGACCTGGGCGCCAGTGCTGCGTGTGGCTGCTGGGGTGTTGTTTCTTTCGGGGGCTCCCAGCAGATGGGGGGCTGAGAATGGAAGAGGAAAATGCCGAGGTGGTGGGGAGGGCTGGCCAGGGAAGGCTTCCTGGAGGAAGAGGCAGAGGGCCTCTCGGGATACCCCACTATCGACCCCTCCTCTTTCTTTCGGCTTAGGGTGTGGCCGACCCCAGGTTTCAGATGTGGGGGGCCGAATCGTGGGGGGACACGCTGTCCCAGCCGGCACATGGCCCTGGCCGGCCAGCCTCTGTCCGCGGAGAGTGCACGTGTGGGGAGGGTCCCTGCTCAGCCCCCAGTGGGTGCTCACGGCCGGCACTGCTTCTCCGGGTGAGTGGGGACGGGGGTGCAGAGACTCGCTTGGCCTTTGACTCACTCCTGAGCTGGAACCCTCTGGGCCTCAGTTTCCCCTTCAGTGGATAGGGAGGCAGTGTGTGGCCCCAGGGTCCTGAGGGCATGCCACCCACCACGCCGGCCGGTGCCGCCTGGGGAGTTTCCCAGCGCCCAGAGTGAGGCTGCTGCTGTCTGCACAACACCCCTCCCTCCCTCCAGCTGTCACTTCTTCCCAGGGAGTGAGAGCCCGAAACCTTCCCCCTGGCCAAGTCCCCTGGGCTGAGGTGTGTCACTGGCTACCAGTCGGGCCGACAGGACCCCCAAGGTGGGGCCGTGCTGGACTTTGGCCCCGGTGCCCAGAGTGGACCTTCAGCCAAGGAGGGAAGGGTTGGTGGGGTCCTGGCGGGGGTGGGGTCTGGGCAGGCTCCGTGCTAACCTCGTGCCTCTGCAGCCAGCCACCCGCGGGGCGGTGACGCCCCCATAGCCTCCTGATCTTCCCTGCCAGGTCCCTGAACTCATCCGACTACCAGGTGCACTGGGGAGAGCTCAAGGTCACTCTGCCCCCCAGCTTCTCCACCGTGGGGCGGGTCATCCTGGACTCCAGCCCCACAGGGCCACCGGGGTCCAGTGGGGACATCGTCCTGGTGCAGCTGAGTGCCCCCGTGAGCCTCTGCAGCCAGGTGCTGCCCGTGTGCCTGCCAGAGGCCTCGGCCGACTTCCGCCCTGGGACATGGTGCTGGGTGACCGGCTGGGGCTACACGCAGGAGGGAGGTGAGGCGCCCCCAGCCACCACTCTGCCCCCGTGGGGATGTGGGGACGTGCGGATGAGGAACTGGGATTGAGAGACCTGCTGATGCCATCGCTCCTCCTGGTGGCCTCGACAGCTGGCCAGGGCTGCCTGCATCAGCTGCCCCATTCCCAAGTCCACCCACGTGGACCCACAGCCAGTGTGCCAGTCCCTGGGGTCACCGTGGTGCGGGGCTTGCATCTGGGCAGGACCCACAGGTCGCCCGTGCCGGCGCGGGGCTGGTGCCCAGCCCCCCTGAAGCCTGTCTCCCCGCCCCAGAGCCCCTGCCGGCCCCACACAGTCTGCAGGAGGCGGGAGTCTCCGTGGTGGACACGGACACCTGCAACCAGGACTGCTCCAGCCCAGAGGGCGGCGTGGTCCAGCCCGACATGCTGCGCGCCCAGGGCCCGGGGATGCCCGCAAGGTGCACAGGCCGGGCGCGGTGCAGGAGGCAAGCCCAGAGCCCTAGGATGGACCCCACCTCCCAGTGTCCTGGTTTCCCCTTCTGCGCCCCCAGGATGACTCGGGAGAGCCCCTGGTCTGCCGGGTGGACGGCTCCTGGCTGCAAGCCGGCACTGTGAGCTGCGTGAGGGCCGTGCCGCCCGGCCGAGGGTCTACACCCGCGTCACTGCCTACGTGGACTGGATCCGCTGCCACATCCGGGCCTCAGAGGGCTCAGGGTCTGCCCGCCCCGGGCCCCACGTGCTGCCCCTCCTGGCCGGCTTCTTCCTCCCTGGACTCCTCCTGCTGCTCTCCTGCACCCTGGTGGCCAAGCGCTGGCTGCGCCCAGCCTGGGTCGCCCCCCCATAACCCCTGACCCTTGACCCCAACAGCAGTGATCCAAGGAGTTTCTTAAATAAGTTACTGTTTATTCCGTGTGGCTCCCTCCCTCCCCTTCCCTCGAGTTTTCTGCCTGGGCTGTTGCTGCCGCGTCCAACCTGAATCACCCCACAGACGGACGTGGGCTGAGGCCCGGACGGACGGAGGGGCAGGCCCACTCGCACGGGGGCCGGGGCATCTTATTGCATGGGCCGAGGTCCCCAGCGACTCGGCCGCTGCCCAGTCACGGATGTTTCCGGAACGTCTAGGGAGCGGGAGGGCACAGTGGGGGAGGGAGAGTGAGGGGGCGTGGCGGAGGGACAAGCTCTCAGACCGTGAGCGAAGGTGACGCTGCTTCGGTGGCCTCGGGGACCACGCCTGCTACCAGCCAGGGCACCAGGGGCCCTGGTGTGTGCTCCCTATAAAAACGTGGACCCTGAGGATGGTGCGGTGCCTTCCTCCTCGTGGCGGGTGTCTGGTCCTCGACCTCGGCGCGGCCTCTCACCCAGGACTCCTGACCCGTGGCCCGCGCAGCCTCGGGCAAAATTTGAAAAACCCAAACCTGAGTCGAGGCCACGGCGGCTCGCGGGACTCCCCGCCTCTCCCGGGCTGACGGCCTCCTGGCGCCTCTCGCCCCGCCGGGCAGCCCAGCGCCAAACCCCGAGCGCGCGAAGGTCCGAACTACACAGGCTCATCCGCACCCTCGCCCGGGGTAGGGGTGGCGGGGGGAGACCCCAGCTTCTTCATGGGGGGCTGGGGGACAGTGAGGTACAGCCCCCGCATCTTCTCTGGGGGGTCACCAGAGGGCACAGGAGGCTCTGTTTCTTGGGGTTCCAGAGGTGCCGCGGCCCCCGAGGAAGCTCTGGGCTCTGGGGTCAGGCCGTGGCCACTGTGCAAGAAAGGGTCTCCCCCGGGGCCCCCCAGGTCCAGCGGCTTGAAGGCAAAGCTGGGGACAGTCAGATGCTCCGCCCAGCAGGGGGCCGGGCCCCACCGCTCCCCCCTGGCGGCAGGGTCCCCTCCAGCACCCGGGCCCTCCGTGGGCTCCAGGGCGTCCCTGTGGGGCGCAGCCTCGCAGGACGGGGTCCTGCGCCTCAGGGTGGTGGTGCCCTCTGCCGCGGGGGGCCGGGTGGAGCCCTCGTCCTCCGCGGGGGGGTCTACAGAGATGCAGGGGGGGCTCATCTTCTTCTTCCTCCGTGTGCCCAGGGCCGGCTCGGCCTCCAGGCCCCGGGCCTTTGCCTCCCCGGACTCCAGGCCGTCCTCTGCTCCACCTGGCTCCGCCGCGGACCACCGCTGCTCTTCTGCGCGGCCCGGCCTGTCCAGGAAGCCCTGGGCGTCCACGCTGCAGCGCCTACACGGGGTCCGCTCGCCACCCGACACCCCGGGGCCATGGGGCTCGGCCGGGGGCGACCAGGCGTGGGCGGCGCCGGTGATGTGGCTGACTTCCTCATCCGCTGGGTCCGTGGCCTCCGCGGCCTCCGCCTCATCTCTGCCTGGTGCCGGCGGCTGGCTGGAGACGCAGTGCTGTCCAAATGTGTGCTTCCGGGTGCGGACGCTGGGGGGCCGTGAGGAGCCCCCCAGGGACACCTGCCTCACCGGGGTCTTCTCAGGCTCCTTGGAGTCCAGGGCACTGTCCCCAGGGCTGTCACTGCGCCCCTCCAGGGACTCGGTGTGCATGGCCTCCTGCAAGGGCACGAGGTCAAGGTGAGGCGTGGGACCCCAGGGAGAACCCCTCCCACCTGGTGCTGGGGACACAGTGAGCTGGCAGCTCCTGCTGCGGATGTCACTGGCCCCGTCTCACACCCCCTGTGGGGCTCCCGGGGACAAGTCTGCACCACCGCTCTGTGAGCAATGGCAGAGGGAAGGGCCCGGGAGGTCTGAGCTTCTGTGGGCAGAGCCTGCCGGGCCCCAGGAGGCCTCGAGGGTCACAGAGCTGGGGCCCAGGCCACCTCTCCATCCCCCACTAGCCTCCGGGGCTCCAGGCCCTGAGACCTGCCAGGAGGCAGACAGAAAACTCCGGAGCCCCGGGAACACACAGCCTCCCTCCCCGGGCCCCACCTCCTCCTCAGCTGCAAGGTGAGGCGGCTCCTACCTGTCTGCAAAGCGGCCGGCTGAGGCTGGGGGAGCGGGCGTTGCCCCGAGGGGACGGGGCGCGGAGAGTGTCGCTTCCCCTGGCCGGGGAGGACGCTGCCAACGGGACCTGGAGAGAGGCGCAGGGCTCCGGGGGCGGCGAGTGAGCAGGGGTGGCCGAGCCTGGGGCAGGAAGACGCCTGAGCCGTGCGGTCGCCCTGTCCTGCCACTGCCCACCGGCCCCCGTCCCCGCCTGCGCCTTGTCTCCTGCTGCCCTGCCAGGAGCCGTACCCGCGAGGGTGCCGCCCACCCGGGTCTCCGTCTCCACCTCCTGCAGCGGGTGAGGGTGGCGGGCCGAGGCGGGCGCCACGGGCCGGAACATGTAGCTGTCGTTGGGCAGCGAGAGCATCCTGGACACGGACACCTTGCGCACGGCCAGGAGGCTCGGGGCGTCCGGGCTCTCGCGGGGCGAGGGAGGCGCGTCCGCGTCGGGCCCGGCCGGGGGCTCCTGCGCCATCTCCAGCTCGATCTCGGCGTCCATCTCCGCGTCCTCTCGCGCCTCCTTGTTGCTCTCCTCCAGGTGCTTCATCAGCACGGCCACCACCACGTTGACCAGCACGAACTGGGCCACCAGCACGAAGGTCACGAAGTAGACGGGCGACAGGGCCGGCAGGTAGCTGAGGCAGTGCCTGTCCTCGTGGGTGCACTCGCGCAGCGTGTCCTGGGGGGGCGGCCGCGGGGCTGGGTGTCGCCGCCCCTCCCTGCCCCCCTCCCCTCGGAACACACGCCGACCGGAGCTGCAGCCACGCGGTACCTTCATGATCCCGTTCCAGTTGTCCCCGGTGGACACGCGGAACAGCGTGAGGAAGGCCATGCCGAAGTTGGAGAAGGTGGCGTGCCTGCTCAGGCCCTCGCACGGGTTGTCCTCGCTGCACTCTGCCGGGGGGCCGCCTGGTCAGCTGCCCGCAGGGGTGCTGCACGCACCGGCCTCGCACACTGCCCAGGGACGCAGGGCGGGGCCGCAGGGGCCCTGAGAGGAGCCGGAAGCGCCTGCGGTCCGTGACTGTGCGTGCGGGGGCCGAGCGGAGCCCACGCCCGGGCGTCTGGGGCGCTGGCTGGCATGGACCCTCCAGGTGGGCACACACTGGGCTGGGACGGCCGCCACAGCGCCTGCCAGACCCGGCCACCGAGGCCCTGCAAGACCCCACAGGCAGGGAGGGGACCAGTGGGGCCTAGGCTGCCTGGGAAGGGCCCCGCCTGCCCTAGCGGGGGTGGTGGTCTTAGAAGTTACGGGGACAACCCAAAGGACACGCAGCCAGCACCACCAGTCTTCTAGAAATCACGCGGGGCTCAGGGGAGTGTGTGCGTGTCTCCGTGTGTGTGCACGTCTGCACGTGTGTCGTAAGCCGGGGAGCTGTGCGACCGAGCGTGTGCAGGTGCTCGTGGGCACCTGCTGTGACGTCGGCCCCACACAGCGAAGGGCAGAGGGAACAGGGCCGGCCGAGGACTCCAGCAGGCCTGTGGCCCCCCAGCCTTGGGCGGCCTGTGGGTGGACCCCGCGTCTGCCGGGGGTGCGTGGCGTGGCCCCACTCACCGAGCCTCCCGAATAGCTCCACTCCCAGGGCAGCATAGATAAAAAACAGGAGCATGAAAAGAAGGCCAAGGTTCCCTACCTACACGGAGAGAAGCAGAGGGAGGTCAGGCGGGCGGCTGCAGCCCCTCGGGCACCGGGCTCTCCCGGCCCCGGGGTGGAGCAAGTCCCCAGAGATGGGCTCGGGCCCCTGCTCTCAAGTCCACGTCCCTCCTGGGCCCCCTGGGGCTCCTTGTCCCCACCAGGGGTCAGGGTCCCTCCCCCACCCCCAGCCCCGCCCCTTGCCACGCCCACTCTTCACCCCCGACATCCGGGGACCCCCCCACTCAGCCTGCCCGGCAGGTTCTCCTGCTCCCCAAGGCCAGGAGGGTCTCCCTGAGGCTCTGGCCTTCCCTGGGCAAGGGTCGCCTCCAGCCCTGGCCTTCGCAGGCAGGTGCCACCCCACCCTGCCGGACACATGCACACCCTGTCCGGCAGGCCCCCTGACCTGGCTGCCCCCTGCCCTTGACTATGGCATCGAGCTGGGTGTGGCCAAGCCCTAACCCTCCCTCCTGCCCCTCCCTGGATGCTTAGTGCTTGACGGGGGACCCAGGAGCGCTTGGGAAGGCCCCACAGATGGGCTGGGAGGCCACTGGGGCAGACACGTGGCGGGTGGACAGGCACGCCAACCCGCCCGTGGCACAGCGCAATTGCCGTGTGACCGCCTGGCTAGACCACGTGTGCATGCCTGGGTGACAGGAGTAAGGCCCCCGTGGCCGTGTCCTCTTGGGGGCGCCGTGACGCTGGCCCGCGGCGGTGGCCGACCTACCTGGGGCAGGGCTTGCACCACGGTGTCCAGCAGGGCGCGCATGCCCGTGGCCATCTTGAGCAGCTTCAGCACTAGCGGGAGCCGAGAGTCAGCGCGGCTGGCCCCTCGTCCCGCAGACCCCCAGGCTGGCGGCCCGGCCCTGCAGCCCAGGCGGGCGCGTGGCACCTACCGCGGGCGATGCGCAGCACGCGCATGATGCGGATGATGGTGGGGTTGACGGGCAGCGCGGCGCTGGTCTCGATCTCCTCCAGCGCGATGCCCACGATGGACAACAGGACGATGGCCAGGTCCAGCTGGTTCCACCTGCGCGGCCACGGGCGGGGGCTCAGCCCCTCCCTGGCCTCGCACACGCCCCCGGGGCCCCCGGTGCCCCCACTCGCCTCACACCTCGCAGACCCCCAGGAGGATGGCCGCGGCTCCCACCTGCCCCCCAGGGCCCCACCCACACCTGTCCTTGAAGAACCGGCGGAACCCAAACGCCACGAGCTTCAGCGCCGCCTCGAAGACGAAGACGATGGTGAAAAC